TTCCTGGGGGCACATCTTTTGTTCTTCACAAATCTCTTGTTCAAAGTAAAGATTTTTGGTACTGGCGAGCACCAATCGTCTTGGACATTAACTCTAAAAACAGAGAGGAAGGAAATGAGAAAAGTGAAATGACAGAGTTGCTTTGCAATTGGAAAAACATATCTAATACTCCAGTGCCTCTGGGACATCCTATCCGCAATCCTACATTGTTGTTGTTGTTTTCCATTTCTCCCTGGCTGAAGTCTGAGATAAAGAAGTAGAGGCATTCTTACTTATTCATTCATCCATCCATCATTCATTCATTCCTTATGGCATTTTTTGAAATGCCAATTTCACTTGTCTACAAGTACTATACAATGATTTTGGATTTAAAGATATTCCTCAGATAGTTAATTTGGTAAGGATCTTTGTGAAAAGAATGCTGTATGAAATAATTTTAGACATAATCCCTTCTCTCAAGTTCTTTTGTGATGTTCCACTTTTAGTTTATTTTCTTTTCTAATTTTGAACTTTTCATTTAGTATTTCCAGCCAACATTTCTTCTGCCTTTTCAATATTTATTCAAATAAATTATACAGTCAATGGTAACAGTTTGAGTAGTTGCTTTGCACTCACCATTATACTAGTTGCTTTGGGAAGGGAGATAACATAATGAATAGAAAACTTTCACAAATTTTTATTTTAAATATGTATTTTCATTGAATAGGTCTGATTTGCACTTAAGTGTTGTGAATAATAAATAAACCAACTATAATAAGGGACATATAAAGTGCTTCAAAATTTGCAGAGTGATTTATATACACTGATTATTTTGAACCTCACAAGGACCCTGGGATAAAACTGTTCCAGGTATTGCTATCCCCATTTTACAGATAAGAAAATTGAGCTCCAGAGATTAAATTACTTGTTCAAATTCAGAGGTGGGACTCAAACACAGCTATTGCTAATTCTAGTCCAGGACCGTCTCTACTACATCATGTTGACTCAATGAAATACTACCTTATAAAAATTAACTACATTGACCAGTGTTTGTAAACCAGTTTTTTACTGAACCCAGCATTTTTGTTTAAGGCAGAATGTGGGCTAATAGCAGACATAAATACAGCAAAACCACATGCAACATTGTGCTTTCAGTTGACTGGATACCTAATCATAGATTTGGTATCAGAAGGGAACCTAGCAGGCCTTGTAATTAATCTTCTTCATTATAGATGAAGAAATAGGCTCAGAAAGTTTAATGACCTGCCCCAGGTAACAAGAGTCTAAACAGCGGGTTCTTATCCAGTCCTCTGTTGTTTGAAATTCCTCACTTGAACAAAGAATTGTATTATGCCAATCAAATCCATCTCATGAGTAACATATGAGACTCAATCAGGTGACTGCTTTACTCAAGAAAGTAAATATAAAATAGTGTGCTTACCCATGTCTTTAATTTGTGGACATTGTTTCTAGAAATATTTTTATATCAATCATCATCACCATTATTACAAGTTGCATTTATGTGATTCTTTATGATTTGCAAAGCACTTTACAAAATTCACTGTAGATAGGTAAAAAAAAACAAACAAGGAAACTTGAAGATAAAGAAAGCACAAGTCTTATCATGAGTTCAGTACTGGCAATGAAATAAACATCTATGAGTCTAGTTCCAGTGCCAAACCTAAAATATAGAAGGAACATAAATATATGACAGAAGAAACACGAACATGTGACTGTAGTTGTTTCTGGTGTGGGTTCACTTGATATATGATTGGTGCTTATGAAATGTTCAAAATAGTTCCACGGTGCCATAAATTTACAAAAAGATCTACAAATCTGATTGATTGAATTTTTCAGAACAAATCTCTTAAATATTTGTAATAATGTGAACTGAAATGATTTTAAATACCTTTTAAAATGTCCCCTCTCCTCTATCACTTAGATTCTGTTTTCTTTCAATGTTCAGCTCAAGTACTTCATCTTATGTGTAACCCTGACTGACCCTCCATCTGCTTACTATTCATTGACAAAAAAAAGAAAAAATTAAAGAAGTCACGTACGAACTGATGCAGAGTGAAATAAAATGAACCAGAAGAACAATTTCTACAATGAATAAAACATTGTAAAGGAAAACAACTGTGAAAGGACTATGATCGATGCAATGACTAATCATAGCTCCAGAACACTGATGATGAACCATGTTTCCTACTTTCTAGCAGAGAGATGATGGACTGTAGGTGCAGAATGAGATACTCATTTCAAGCATGTGCAGTATGCGGGTTGTTTTGCATGTTTCTATTTCTTATTTTTAAAAGGGCATTTTTTTCTGTAAGGTAGGGGGCAGTGGGAATGTAGTGATAGTGATACCAAAAAAAATGAAGAAAAGGGAAAAAAAGGCAATGGATCTTTAAAAAAAATACACAGAAGAAAGTATTAAAAAGGTATACAGACATGGTGAAACTACCATATTAAAGGCTGCAAACAGTAGAGATTCATGTTTTCATACACAATCTCCTTTTTCAGGGTGTTATTTTTTTGCATGAGGAAATTGTCAAGTTCATAATAATAAAAAGGAAAAATTAGAGTGAAAGACTGCCTATGAAAAAAATAAAACCATTAAGTAAAATTTCTCATATTTCTGTATGCATACTCACATCTTGCAAATTTTGTATAAAACTAATTTTAACATTACTTGTTGACATAAGTCTTTCTATTTAATCAAGAGAAGGAAACTCCAAATGAACTTTCTTATTTGATTTCTAAAAATTCCATCTAATCTGTCCTTTATGTTGGCTGGGCCCCATGCCTCAAATGCTCTTCCTCCTCATAGCCCCTCTTAGAATCTCTGGCTGCCTTCATCAGCTCAAATGCTATCTCCTGAACAATGGCTTCCCTGGTCCCTCCAAACTTCTAGAGCCTTCTCCTCTAATACTACCTTCTATCTGCTCTGAAGGTATCTTGTATGTACTCGTTACTTTATGTTGTTCCTCCCATTAGAATGCGCAGACTATGTTAACCTATCTTAGTATCCCCCCAGCACTTCACAGTGTCTGCAACATGGTAAGCACCTAACATATACTCCTCTGATTGATTTATTGATCTCTCATCTTCTAACTCCCAAGTCAGCACCCTTTCATCTGACAACACTTTCTTTCAGTCTGGAGGTATGTGGCATTTTCTTATTTCAGTATGAAATACAAAACAAGTTAGCTATATAGAACATATTCAAACAAGTAAGCACAGCCCATTGTAACTAAAGACCCACTGTGACTAAAGACCCTATGACTCAGGGTCATAGAAGTGTGCCACAAAATCTTGGGGGCAATTTTTGCCTCCTGTTTTGGTACTCACCCTTTTGGGTTCTATGGTGGTTTAGATTCAATACTAGGTTTGTCCTGGGCAATGACGGCTAGATGCCAGTGAACTGTTCTGTTGCCAAGCTGTGCCTAGCTGGGGCTAGACAGCACCCTAATTTTTCAGACCTTCCTTTACCATTTGGAGCAAAGGAACAATCCGCTGAGACTCACACAAGACTAGACACTCACTTGGTAAGGTTAATAACAGGTAAAGTTATTTCTACAAACAGGCAGTACATATGGATGCACTTCCATAAAGCACAGCTATCTGAACAGACCACTGGCTCCTACACCCAGAACTCCAAAGTGTTGGGGACTACTTTGTATGTACTAGGTAGATCTTTGAAAGTCCCATTTTTGGCAGGTTTATGCTTCTCCTGGGGTGAGAGCCCAAACCACTTCAAAAGTTCTCAGCGTGAAACAAGGGAGTGAGATGGGGGAGGGGGAAAGAGAAACAGAGGAAGGGCAAGAG